ACGAAACGTTTACGTACAGTGACTGAGACAAACCCGCATAGTTCAAGTGATTGTTAGTTTTTTATATAGATCAAATTAATTTTCGGAAGTTTGGGAAATGTACCCTGGGCATGAGGCAGGGGAGTATCATCGGACCGTAACAACATTTAATCGTAAGGTGCCCATCCGTTGCGTCTGGCTACTTTAAATCGTTTCCTGTTAACGTTTGAGCGCGTTAGAGCGACCCATTTAAAACTGATTGTCAGGCTCTTGTACACTAAGCAGTATGAGATCAAGTCAGAGGTTTCTTGCTTGAATGACGGCAAGTCGCGAACTGATGATGCACTGAAAGTGTAGTATTCATCGCTGCACCATGTCTTCAGCAGACGTGCAATAGCCGGCAGAAAAGTGGACATATTTAACACTTGTTTGTCATAATTTCATATTAAACAAGGGGCAACATCATGGCCGTGACCAGAAATCACGTTCCAATACGAATGTCGGTAGATACTGAAGAGTTCCAGCAAGTCACCGTTTATCCGTGCTTCAATAACGTCCCTAAATAAAGCGTAAATGCGAAATCGAAACAACAAGTGCTCACATGACGAAATAAAAAGCCACCCTTCGTTCACAAAAGTGGCAGTGTGATTTGAAGATCTCGTCATAATTCAGGATTCCGCAGTTCTTCTATCCTGACCATTCAAGTGGCAGAAATACTCTTTCCTTTCCGTTCTTCTGGTATGACTCATCCTGCTTCCTCTAAGGTGTCCGTTCTTGTCGCTCATGATTCGCCATGCTTTGTTCAGAACTTAGGCCGAACTACGATGACGATTGAACATGTTTTCTTAGCGGGTTATTGTCGGCAATATTGAACCATCCTTCTGGTTGGCTTTATAATAAAAGCATTTTGTGCTACACAGATTTGCCTTACGATATATAAATATTTGTTTACTCCTTATATCACAACCTCTTTAGTTGTCCATTTCAAAGTTCATTGTAAGTCTTCATAGATAAAGAAAACCCTTTCAATATTCTTTAGTTTTAAACGCGATCTGTTTCTTTGCGGTCCCTACAGATCCCATACTGGATTTGTGAAGAAAACTGGAATTTAGAAATATTGCCTCATGTGAAGTCACATCCCGCTGGAACTTGTCAGATCGATTTTTTGGTTCGGTCTGGCATACCGTGCGATGAATTATCAAGTGGTAGAAGGAGATTCTTTAAACGAGAAATTAAACGCGGTTTTTTGAGCAGCTTGGATATGTCGGACCAAAATGTTACAATCACCTGACAATACTGACCCGATTATCATTATCAGCCTTTGTCGATCCACTGCTGGATGAAGGCCTCCTCGACTTTGCCATTGCCCCCTGTTTTCTGCAATTTTTGTCCATGTTGATTCAGCTAACTTTTTAAGCTCATTTTCACTTCAATATTGAGGTTTTTAAGGGCCGTTTACTCTCTCCTGGAATCCATTCTAGCGTGTAGCTGGTCCAGTAATGATCAGTTCTTTTTCTAACGTTACCAGGTCATTGTCATTTTAACTTCTTCACTGGCCAATGACATTGCGGACTCGTACATCGGTTTGTGCCCCTACCCATTCATTAGTCTTCCTAAATTTTTTTGTTATTAACAACGAGTAACTTTTCATGCTGCATGACGTACTGTGCAGTTAGTGAATAGCTTTCAGGCTTAGGGCGCACATTTCGCATTCACTGGGTGCACTCACTGATAGCAAAGTTTCAGATTCAAGCACAAGAGTAGTTTTTCGTTAAAGGCATTTTCAACGTTCCCTAAGTGCTGCATACTATTTCAGTCTTCTGCTGATTTCCCATAGTCACTTTTCGATTGCAGTGATGAACTGTCCCGAATAGACGTAGATACTGACTCGAAAGTTCGTCATTAGTCTGAACCTGGTTCATGGGAACCTGAGTATGAAGGGGAAGAGAAACAGTAACATTTCTGACAACAGTGCAGCAGATGCGGTTGTACAGCTGCAATACACGAAACCTTCTCTTAGGTGGTCATTGACTGCGCCATGAAGAACTGGTAGATGTTTGGAAAAGCAATAAGTGCCGTCATTATAAATGTGATAGAATTTATGAACTATATTAGTTACAGATAATATTTAAAAAGAAAAATGAATAATTGGCACAATATGCATAAAAAAGGTCTTTCTGATGAGAAAAATGCGCAGAAAGATATGCAACCACTATCCATAACTATGCACAGCGGAGGGTTATGAAACCATTTCATCAAATCGCCTATTTTCTGAACAGAGCATGCTGACTTTCTCATGACCCACTGAAGACCTCAAACATGTCGGATGAGTGATATGAAACAATTAAGAGAAATGCAGTTTCGTTGTTACTTGAATAATGAAGAACTGAAAAAATGCTACTTAATAACATTACTCAGATTTAAATTTTACCCGTGACCTTTCAGGGATAATTTATTTGAATGGCAATTAACCAACGATGTTTCGATCAGCCCTACGGCCTGCTAAATTCAGTGGACTTAGGCTTGAGGAGTTGCAAAACTACATATATCTGAGGTAGACAATCTTTTGCAATGGAGAATCAACGCCGCAAAATTAAAAAAGTGTAAAATTGGCAGATTGGAAAGGTTCTCATCAGGGAAACTGGTGTTTTTCTTAAAACCGAATGTTTACCATCAGTGTGTGTTCCTAATGCTAAACTATAGGTACGAAAGCTATTCATATAACTGCAGGCTACGCAGCGAAGCATGGAAAGATGTATATTGACAATAACAGGAAACGCTAGAGGCACTAATGAACGGATAAGTCACAAGCAAGAGTTTGCGATGTAATCACCTGAACAACGAAGTTAGCGGCAATGGGCTGGACACGCCGTTGCACGTTGGCTGGAAGAGCAGATCACTGTGGGTCACAGAGACATTAGAGTGAGGTTTGCTGGAAGAACTCCGTCGACGGTAGGATGACGTGGAAAAGTTAGTTTGATCAACATGGATAGGGATTGCAGAACTGAAGTTGTGAGGAGACCTTCATGAAGCAGTGATCGAAGGAGGCTCAACCTGCTGATTATGATTTAGACTGACAAACGTCAATCTTCAACAGGTAGGACAATGACGAACATTTGGACATACGCTAGCGCTGCCGTCGTTTAATCTGTTGAAGACTGACGTTGGTCGGTCAAACTATTATTGGTTAATTATTTGTACAGATCCTCGTCGTGATCAGCCATAGGAAGTTTTGATTCATATTTGCATCCACATGAAGGAAATTTTTAAGATATGACTCTGACATGTGCATGTGCATTCTGATCTCCGTAAAACGAGGATGATATTTTTGTTCGTTATGTAGTAAAACGAGAATTCAACAACGACAGGGGTTACATCATCTTTTGATTATCACGCTGAATAAACGTCTGTTAGGTCGGTCAAGGCGAATTGCATCCATAAGAGGCGCTTGGACAAAACAGCATGGCCTTACGTTCCGCTGATTGTAGCTAGCTTGACCGTACCAGAATACCATACTCTTCATACTGTATGAAAGTTTGCGATCTGGTACAAGTTTCTCGGCCAGTTGCACAGAAGCAACTTGAGGGAGGTCTGTTACTCAAGG